CATAAAGGAAAAAACAGCGCCTTCATATCGTTAATCTACACAACCCAACAACACAAACATATTTATATCTCGCTTTGGGCCACAGGTCTAGCTTGGTCTTTAATCTCTGCACAATGCTGGTGAGTGGGCACATCAAGACTTGTTGCTAGTGTGGAAGTCTTGGGCTTTGTTTAATTTCGCAAAGGGGCTTTCGTTACACAAAATATTAAACACGTATTTCTTTTTCTCTAAAACACGCGCAAAGGCCTCTATTCAACAAAAAGGTCTGAATTCAGCACAAAGGGTCTTTGTTCAAAACACTGGCTTTTTCAAGGGTCTCTTTTAACACGAGGCTTTGTTCACAAAGGGTCTCTAAAAAAAAAAAACGAGCATCAACGCGAACTCATTTTTGAGCTTATCAAACATATTGACGAGCTTGGCAAAGCCAGTGTGCGCCTTGCTCCGGATGCCCGAGGCAATCGGCCTCGCAAGGCAATGGCCCGGGGGAACTTGGGTGAGCCAAAACGGGTTGCAACCCAAAAAACACTCTCCAATGGACATTCCCATGTTCGCTTTTGCTCTTAGTTTTGTTCCCCGATGTGTTGTCCCTTTTTGTTCCCCCGAATGTATCAACCCCGGCAAGAAAGCTCAGTGTGAAGCAAACACAACAGAGGTTCTCCCTGCCCCAATGCCGCCGCCCAACCAAAAACTGTTGCTTCCTGTTGGCTTCCCTTTAAGCCAACGCAAAAGGCTACGCTCAATAAAGACACGTTCATATAGGTCAAGGATGTCAAGGACGTCAAGGGCAAATTTTGGGAGTGGCATTCACAACGCGATGCGTTTTGTAGCAAATCCTACAAGGATGCCCAAGGAGGCATATTCGGCTTGGCTCATCAACCGAAGACATGAGACAACATGAAACATCAGATTTCCTTTCCCACAGACCAAATCTCTGCATCGCCAGGGTCTTTGAAGCACCGAGAAACGCGGGAATATTCCCCTCGACTAATAGGTGAAGGATCTCATTTTCCGTGGTTTGCCGAAATTCCCTCTCCGTTGCCCAAAGGACCTGGAAATACAAGGCGAAGCCATGACCATGGACTTAGAAAGGAAAACCAGGTTGGTGTTGGATGCTCTGGCACCTCCATACATCTGCGCCCATGATCTAACGAAAGCACAGGCCATAGGCAGGCGTGCTGTTCCTTTGAATTTCCAAGCACTGACAAAGTCCGTCATTCTCAACCCCAATAGTCGCGCGCTTTTCTGCGTTCATCACGTCCTGGGGGAACACTCCAAAAACAAGTAGGTGCTGTCATGTACTTTTCCTCCAGAAACCACATAGCAAGTCAGGTGACTCGCTCCAGGGCCTGTCAGCATCCCACTGAGGCTCTCCGGCGCCGTCTGCGGAACCTCAAGGTGCGGGTTTGGCCAAGGGGCCTGGGCGCATCTACCGTACTATTCCGCTGAGGGATCCTTCTTGTTGGAAGAGGGCCCAAATCCCAAGGGAATTGGGCTTGCTGAACAGAATGATGGCCTTGAGGCTCCCGATCCCAGAGAGTGGTTGCCAAGGAATGGCCAGGCCGGCCACGATCTTTAAATGGGTTGGGTCCAGATTTGGATCCCTCAAAATGGTGGGATGTTTCCTGTTGAATTCCTTTTGGCGCCCTTCACTGGTTTGCTTCTTACTTGTTTTACGGTTGGCTCAAATATAGCTGTTTGTGTTGCATCTTCTGACCAAACCTCATAGTAGAAAAGGACAGAGGGAGAGCATGCACAGGAAAAGGCACGTGCTATTGGCTATTTCAGGATTTGATGGAGCTTGCCTCCATGGTTGAATAAGCAAAATGAAAGTGCTGCTGCAAGTACCTCGGATCAAACACAGCAACTCAGGTGCCCCCTTTTTTGCTTGCTTGGAGCGCGCAGGCTGCGGTATTTTGACATTTATTTCTGTAGATGTAAGCACAAATGAATGGGCTTGCAAGTCATCATGGCAAAAGCTGGATAAGGAGGTCTGCAAAGAGCAGCTTTACAAGGAGCCTTATAAGGACATTTGTCATGAGCCTGACAAGGATCAATCTTCGCAAGCAGCTTTTTAAGGTGTTCCAATTCATGGCCACTTGGTGGTGTCCTATTGAGGGCGTCCTGTCTTTGGAAATGCCTTGGCACCCTTCTCGGACTTGATATTATCAGCGGAGCAACCAGTGTCTTTTGTTGAGGGTACCCCTTTCTTGGTGGATTTCAAGGAAAACCACAAGGGCAACCCGCGTGACAACCCCCATGCAGTTTTTTTCTTAAAAAAACAACACCTCCCATTTCGACGGCGCCACTCCCCAAAAAGGACACCCCTATTTAGATAGCGCCACTGAGGTCGGCCAAGGGAAACCTACAAGACGCCAAAGCCACTTGAGCCCCGAGCTGGCCGCGAGCGGCGATGCTGCGATCGGCGCTCGCCGCCGGGCACGCCAGAACAGCCTCACGTCAACGGTCACACACACACACAGAAATGGCTGTGGTTGTCAAAACCGTTTTGGGATCCCATTTTGGGGTAGGTGAATTCACCACCCATTTTAGGACCTATTACTATTTTAGTGGTTGGATTGGGATGTTCACTGAAACTAACCGGGATTTTGACCCATGGCCAATTGTGCTTCTCGGTTTTGTTGAAGGCAACCAAGGGCTCCCCTCACAAAACAGGCACGCCCACATACACACCAACTACAAACCAACAGACCAATGGCTTCAAGCTGGCAGTAGGGCAAAGGAAGCTGCCAGTGAGCTCACACACCTGACATCTTTCTCGTCGTTCCAAACATCTGAAGTCATTGACTCTACATGGGGGGGGTATGGTGGATCCCCAAATAGTGCAAGTAGGGAACAAGGGAACCCCTGTAATGTCCATGGTTTGTGGCTGTTTTACTTGCAAAATGTGAACGGCATTCACCGTGCCATCGGCAATTGTCCGTCTTCGCACGCAGTCGTGCCCCTTGAGATGTCACCGCATTTCGGTTGGTCAGCTTGCTACTCTTAAAGCAGTGGACCCCTTTGCATGGCTACTTTACAACTACCGCCCTCGAATGATACTGCTGACATTCTCACATGCCTTTTCTGTATACATATGACTATAAATAAACTTTGTTGAACATTTGCCGTGTATACATGACATCATCCCATCTTCGGCGATGCTTGCCACAGCATTTGTTGTGTGCGTGCGAGTTCACAGCTGGGCTGTTAAATGTCTCGAAAGGCCCCTTCCGGCAGCCTACCCGTGGCAATCCTATTGGACACCGGCTCAAGGGAAGAAACATGGGCCGCCAAAACGGAGGCACAAGCGAAATTGATAAGGGCACACCCAAAGCGACGCCTTGAACAGATTGGCGGCATGGCTATGAATGTATGGGGAATACTGTCAAAAACGGTGGGAAATCACTCCAACCATAGTGATGCAACTATTTTGAGACAACCCGAACGACCGAAAACCCGTTTGAGGGTTCGCATATGTTGAAACACTTCAGTTGGGCAATGAATCCGGATAGGAAATTCATCAAAAGGACCTGGACATAAAAGTTAGAGCTTTTGGGACCTTGAATCACATCTGCCAAAAAGGTGAGCTAAGAGGTTTGAAAGGTCAGCTTTGCACAACCGAACCTGAGGAAAAGGGTACTAGGGTAACTCCAAATTGAGCGTACCCCGTTCTTGGTTTTAAAATGTAAACCAAAAAAGCCACCGTTTCGGCGGGTCCCCGACTCTCTCACTCTAAGCCCCAGTCCACAGCGCAACACCCACGCCGGCCAGAGCGGCCGCAACGGTTCTGCCGCGGGTTTCGCCGGCCATGGCGGCGGAAAACAAAGGCGCCCTGGCAGTGTCAACCAGTAACTGTTGGTTCTGCGTTTCTTCGAGGGTACCTGTCGATAATCAAGCTGGTTCAAAGAGAAACCAAAAGGAACACCTCCCATGGTCTGGATCCCCTTTCACGAGAATGGGAGCTCTGGAGAATGGGCGCAACATCCTTCTGGATGATGGCATTTTTTGGGTGGAACCACCCAGCAGCAATGGATCAGGGTGGAATCCTGTGCCTCACTTTGGAACCGGTGCCCAAGACACATTCGAATTTGGATATGTGAAGGAAACCTGCTATGGCTTGGGTGCACTTACTGGAGATGGTAAAAAGGATTGTCCTGTACATTCAAGGTGTGCATCCAGTGTCATTGAAACTTCATGTTTAAACAGAACGTACCTTTTTGGATGTCCCATGTCTTGTCAATCACGTGTGGTTGGATTTCCCGCTTCCATCTGGGACATCAGTCCCAAAAGTTGCGCATGGTGCCTCGATGCTGAGCAGTGACCTTGCCTGCTGGATGCAAACTTCAATATGGGTCTGTCTCAAAATAGGGAAGCATTGTTCGCACACCAAAAGGAGACTACCCATGGAGCGGCCAGAGCTTGACTTCCAACTAAGCGTCCTGAGGGATTGGTCATCGGTTGACTGTACAAATTCGGGTTGGCGCCCTTCAAACCCAAAAGCCCAAACTCCTTCGCCCAAACCACCAACCATTCTTTTTTCCATTTTTTCCCGCCAGGCTTCGCAACAGCGATGTTTCTGGAGGCTTTTGCAACGTCCGGGGTCCCTATATTTCCCCCTTCGACATCACCCCACCAAGAGGAAATCGACTGAACGTGGTCCGAAACGCCATCTAAACGCTTTGAAAATCAACATCCCTCAAGATGCGGCAAAACCAAAAAACCAAAAAATAAACAATGAGCTCTGGGCAAACTGCTCTTCAGCAGTTTGCCCAAGGACCTTCATCATAGGTGGAACCGCTACTTGCTTCCTTTCATCAGTGCGCTCATTCTAACTTGCCCAAACCATGGTTGCTTTCTGCTCCCCTGCTAAAAGTTTAACTTTTAGTGGTTTAATGGAAAACCCATTAGCTGGCAAAAAGGTAAAAGTCCTAACATCCCGTGGCAAAATGCAACAAAGACACCCATCCAAGCCCAGCACCGCGGATCACTTTTTTCGCTTCTCAGGGCAGCTCTGCCAGCTTCCGTTCCTTGTGGCGGCAAGCTTTTTGTGTCTTCAGCGGTGCACGGGAGGTCTTGAAAACGAGGGGATGGTCTGCGAACAGCACCCCGGGTAAAGAAAATTGGGGGGATCTTGGGGGTGGGTGGGGGGCTGGAAGGTTCTGTGGGGGTTGACCCAAATGAAAATGGGCAACTTCTCCTTTTTTGTGGGAATTAGCATTGCTTTAGTGGTTTCCCCCAAATGGTCATCCCGTGTTTGCTGGACCTTATGATCAACCCCCATGTACGCATCTTCTCGTGCGCACAGCGGCCTTTCTGGAAGCATCCGCCCGGGAAAAGAAAGGGTGGGGTGGGGCGGGTCTTGTTCCATCTTTCGCGTCAACGGGAAAATGGGCTTAGACCAAAAGTCGGGCTGCCCCTGTCGCCTAGTTCCATAGGAGGTGGGCATGGGTCCTTCGGTGGCATCGACATGTTGGCTTCAATCAACGTCTGGGGGGTTGGAAGATAGCGACAGCAGGGTGTGTTCTTTCTTTTAGGGCCTCTCATTATTATTATTATTTTTTTTGGGTTCTTATTGTTCTTATGTTTTTTGGGAGCCACAAAGGAACACGCCCAGAAAGGCGGCCCAGGCCACTTTTTCCGCCTCAGGATCCAGTGGCCACAGCAGTGGATCCCCCCGAAAGCAAAACAAACAAACAAGCAAACAAGCAAGCAAAAAAAACAAACAAGACAACACACTGTGGAGGCGACATTCAACCAGCAACCCCCTCCAAAAAAAGCGACAACGAAAAACGCAAACCAAACACCAAGCACAACCACAACAAACACAAAAAATAACACAACGCACACACACCAAACAAAAAACACAACAAAACTTTAAACGATATATATATATATATATACATATACATATACATACATATATATATATATATAAACACTGACACCTGGATCCCCCTGTCCCGGCCCCTTCTCCCGAAGTGCCGCCCTGAGCCTGCGCCATTTGACCACCGGAGAAGGTTGCCGGCTCGGTGGGGGCGGGGGGACCTCGGGGACCCGCAAGCCAACAGCCATGTACCCAGACTGGCCAGGTTTTTCTTGGGGCTACCATGGATTCTCCAGACTACCCATGAGATGCTCAACCACCACCTAAAAAAGAAGAAAACAATGTTCAAAACCCAATGATTTGTTCAAGGAAACAAACCTTTTTTTCGGCTGATAAAGGGAAACTGCAAATGCAGTTACCCGGTGTTTGGTTGTCTTTTTGAAGGGAAACCCATCACACATAGAACGCGGACCACTGGGGGCTGGGATGTCATGCTCAAACCTCGTAAGGGCCATTCTGAGATGAGGAACCCTCCTCTTGAAGGCTCACCCACAGCTGACTATAGCCGCCGTCTGTTTTGCACCTTTTTGCCGCACGACGGTCGCAGAAGGTGAAGGCGGGGAAAAAGGTTGAGTTTATAGTTTTGCTGTTTGACAGATATGGCGCGCGACGCGTTCCCTCAGAAAGGGTTATTTATCACAACCATGCCCCATCAGAATCAGAAGGAGACATCGTGGACAACGACCTTGCCGCAAGCACTGAAGTCTTTTGGGGAATTTGCATGTGCAGTGTTGTTTTGCCAACTGGCTGCAGCGCCAGCAAACTGTGGCCTCCTTTGAAAAACAACACTTGGGCTGAACTGAAAACAACCACGTACAAACCGTTGTACACTCCTACTTATCCCTAGTCTAGTGTCGGCTACGAGTTGCAAAGTGCACAATCTGTTGTTGGCGTTGCCGCATTTAACGCGCAGAGGGAAAGTAAGCAGCAAGCAGCGGCGCAGGGACTTGTTTGGGCCATTGGGAAGAGGGACTCGAGGAGTTGGTGTGAACATGGCAAGCCAAGGACAGGGCGACCGGGCAGCTGGTTGGATTTGGCAGGCATGAGTAATCGGCTTGGTATTGACTGTAAGTTTCCCCTCCGAAACCTCGGCTTAGATCAAAAAGAGGGTCTCCCCATGTCTCCCCTTTACTTCCATTTGGTCAAGACCCCTGGAAAAAAAAGAAAACATTTTTCCAGTAGTGGTAATTTCCTTGTAAAACCAACAAGGGGAAAAAACAAAGCTTAAGCAAATGGAAGCTTAACAAGCCGCCCAGCGACTGTGCGCCGGGCCGAGCTCCCGCAGTTTCCGCTGCCGTATCTCGGAGGCCCCGAGCCGCGCCAAGGAGGTCACGAAGGCGTCCTGGCCATCCAAACGCCCCGGTGCTTTGTTTGATGTACCCGTGTGGGTTGGTGAGCTTAGGGGAAAAGGGAACCACCCCTCCGAGTAAGTGGTAAGAAAACCTGGGTTGGAATCCCCTAAGGCTGGATGCACCTTTTTTGGTTAGCTTAGGGGAAATGGTAACCAACCCTCGGGCAAGTTGTCTGAGGGTACCCTTTTGCATTTCCTCAAAGCTCGGCCTTGTTTGGTTGGCTTTCAAGGGGAAGAGGAAATCACCCCTCCGAGTAAGTGGTTAGCCACCTGGGTTAGAACCCTTTAATGCGAACCCTAAGATACTGACAACTTAGCAACTTGGCCGAACACCCAAGATGTTCCCTGGACACTCAACTACCCTGTAAAAAAGGAACACAGCCACCGATGGGCCAAACCTCTGATGTTGAAGACCAACAAAGAAATTGGGACCTGCAGAAACCGAGGGCGTGCGAATGCCGCCCAAAAGGAAGCAACCATATCTTTGACAAATGGCAATAAGCGAAAGGAAAACGACTGCTTACCTGCTATATTGGCAACTGGGATCCAAGGAAACGTGTGGATTTATCATCTTGTGGGGGATGGCAAAGTGGTAGCTTTCCTTTTGGTTTCCCTTTAAAAGCCACAAACAAGGGGGGGACCCTCCACAAAGGACGCGGTGAACTTTCCCTCATCTTTCAACTCTTCCCCGGTTTCAGGCTCCCGAACCTTTGAGGTTCTCGAAAGGTTCCCACGGAGGTTCCCAGGAACTAATGTCTCTCTTGATCATCCGGGTGTTTTCCTAGTATCATCTCTCTAAAAGCCACAACTCGATGCTGAATAGGCTGTCTGGAAGAAGAAGAAACCACCCATCCCCTTTTGGCGTCCCCTTGAGGTCAACGGAGAAAAAAAAAAACAACGATATGGAGAACTTTAGCGCCCAGTCCACTCCATTAGTCGGGTATGGAAACCGAAGAAAAGCGGCTTAAGACGCCTTCTGAAACCTTCAGGTGTGGCCATTTGCCAAAGCTCCCAACAAAAAAGTGGTCAACGCCACTAGAGGACACATGGGTTTGGCTCGGAATTGATAAGCTAGGGTTACGCAGGTTTCTTCCTTTGGTTCCATTTACCAAGGCGCCATTTTGGTAGAGCCACACCCACATCTCTGCTCGGTTTTCAAGCTACAAAGGCATCAACCTTGAGGCCCCTTAAAAGCACAGGAGTCAAAATCCGGATTTGTCCGACCTCCCATCCTCTGAAAATAATGCGTGAAAGGGAACATGAAGGAACATAACAAACGCGCAAGTTGAACAGTACGCTTTTTTCAACAAATACTTGTTTGCTAGAAGGCTTGGTGTTCTTCGGTTTCCCTTTCGAATACAAACCAAAACCGGGGTCCATTTTGAAAAACTCTCATTTGGGTCTGCCCTTTTCTAGCGTCCCCAACGCCCCTCCAAGAAACACATGTGTTTGTTCTTGGCTCCCCTTTCAAACCATCCAAAAAAGGGTACCCTCAAAAACACCAAACACATCCAAATACACAAATCAACACCGCCTCAAGTTGGCCGCTTGAAACCACCGGAAGCTGCCAAGCTGAGTCACAATCAAAAACCGGTATTGAAATGGTCGACCCAGAACCATGTAAAGAATTAAGAAGGCTATTTATGGTTGGGATTGTCCCTTACTAACCTTCATCTACCCGAGTCGGTTTTGAGCAAGTGGCTCAGCTGACGCTGACAGACACAAGGACCAGCCGGCGGCGCCCAGTCGTGCGGCGAGAACTCCTTGTGCCGCTTCTGAGCCTGAGAGCGAGGCCGCCCCCCGACATCGCGCCAGGTGCATAGCAGCTGCCGCGGGGCCCAGACAAAACGGTGGTATGAATCAACCCTAGTTTCTGAAATAGGGGGGGGGGGAACTCTGCTGCAAAAGTGGTCTGATCCCCCACTAAACCCAGGGAAATGCAGCTTTCCTATGAATAAACTGGGGTTGATTGATGTGGGATCAACATTTCCACTTATGGTTTGGTTGTTAGAAGGAATCGTGACATCGGTATGCTCGAGGCTCTGAGCGTCACCTTAGAGCTCATACCAACGGTCCGTCAACGTGGTTAGGCCTTCTTATGCGAATGGTGCGATGTCACGCGTGCAACTGTTCAGACCAGGGTCTACCCGTGCAACACCTTCTCGCCTTCCAAGCGAAACAAAGGGCCCCCTACAAGACGAGACCCTCGCCTCAACAAAAACGCAAACCGGTCACATGTTTATCTTAACAAGGGCGGTCAAAAAGCGCCCTGGTTGAAACGTCCTACGCAATGCGTCACAAGAGCAGCGGTCAATGATCAAATTTAAACATGAGACCTTACTCAGAAGGACCTGGGATGTCTGACTGGGCGACTGACTTGCTCAGCTGCCCCGCTCGCATGAATTCGTGCTTTTCTCCCATGGAAGCAACAGAGGCTGCCCCGTTTGGGCCTGCGTTAAAGGGAAACCAAAGGACCAAATGCCATTTTGTTGGACCATTTTCCATGTCAAGACATATCTCCAAATAGGAACTCCCAACATCTTCTGAGTCCTTTTGGTCTGAAGATAGCCATGAACACGGGGTACCTCAACCCAAGGCACTCTTTCCCTTCAAAATCACATAGCTCTAGAGTGGGCACACACTGAAAAAAGGGAAAGCGCCCATGTCTCGTTTTTCTATGGCCAAAGCCTTTGGCTCCGAGCCCACTTGGGCAGGGTGAGAGTCACCCGCTCATCGCGGTACCTGCAAATGGCAGGAGTTAAAAGTGGCAAAACCCGCAGACACTTTTTGCGCGGCAAATGAGAATGGGATATGACTCGCAAGCCCAGTGGCAACTTGCATCAGAAAAGGGCGAACATGGGCCCGATTGAAACGGGACACAAAGCCCCGAAATAAAGGACGGACATTGCGCCCACGAAAAAGGCTACGACATGCACCTGAACGTGGTGAGCATATGATATGAATCACCGTTTCCTGACACCTCAGCAACAGGATCCCAAGACTCACGTGGTTTCCTTAAAACACCCCTTGGAAGCCATGGATGGACGAAACCCATGGATGCACAAAATGGATGGACAACATCCACAGGCACCACATTAAATGGCTGGGTCTTCCATCTTCAGAGTCTGCACCACCTGAAACGAGAAGAACCGAAACGGAGCGGCCGTGGGCACTCTGCAGCGGCCAAACCTCCGGTGGGATTCTACGGGGCAGAGCTTTCAAGACAAAACATCACCCTGCAAGGAGAACGAATCTGGCAGAAAAGGTGACGTTGAAAACCACCCTGGGCAGGGTTCCGTTTTTTGACTACCCCAAAGTCGACTTAAACCCAGGGGTGGTTCAAAAGGGAAACCCCTGGGTTTAAGTCTACCTTGGGGTAGTCAAAAAACGGAACCCTGACCCCGGGACTTTTGAAAGTTGATGGAAGCCCAAGGCCCCCACGGTTGGTCTGACCATTGACCAACCAACATGTTTGGGCTCCCCGTTGATGGGTTCCCCATTGTGTACTTGTGGTCACAGAAACGATTCACGACAAAAAAGTGCATGCAGATATGAGAGTAGCACACATGTAATTAGTTGGAATGCGGAGCGTAGATGGCCGTGTGTCAGAATGCAAATGTTTGAGCAACTTGTGGTTGGTTCGGGTGGGGGGTTTTGAGGGGGCTCAGACCCATAATACCGGCTAAAGCAATGAACATTCGCCCGACCCCAAATACTCTAAGCACTCTTTCCAGGATGTGCACGACAGAAACAGAAACGATATGCACACAGGGGCATATCCCTTTCTGAACCACATGGTTTACTTGACCCACATCGCTGCCATGCTTGGAATCATTTCCGTGGTTTAGTTTTGACCCAGGTCCCAGGTCCCCCCAAAAGAAGATTCCTCTAATCAGGGTCGTTCGGGTTGGATTCCATCAGCAATCCACAAATAGCCAGGTATTCGCAGGCTGAGCGGAGACAGTCTCTGGCCCAGCACAACGGACATGTTGTCAACATTTGCGAACTGTGCTGACACCCGAAGAAAACAAAAGCAGTACAAAACGACACCGGGCTCCAAGAAGCAAGAAGCAGTTCCAAATGAGAGATTCGGCCCAAAAGCTTCCATCTTAATTTGCAGGGCAAACAGGGCTAAAAACAAGATTGCCTAACCCTCCATTTGCTTTGGCCCCTGGAAAAATACAACAACACCTGGAAAAATACGACAACGTGCTCCAGTAGTGACAGCTTCCCTTTGAAACCCACAGGAGAAAATTCCAAACAACCAACCACATGCCTTCTTGAAACCAACAGCAGAAAATCAAGTTCCTCAACCAAACGGAGCACAAGTCCCTGGTTCTTCAAACCGTCCCAACAGACCCTCGCTGTCCTGGGCCAAAAACCAAAAGAGGCCTCGAGTGAAGCGCACAAAGTCCACGGGCTCGAAGTAGCCCAGGTGCCGGTGGACGTGCCGACCTCTCATGTTGTTCTGATGGATACGGAGAAGCTTGGGCGATTTGGGGGTTTTCCTGACTGACTTTTCGAGATTGACTTGTTTCTGAGCTTTTTTGTTTTTGTTTTTGGATTTGTCGCCGCTGTGGGCGAGATCAGGTCAAAAATACAGAATCTGGGTAAAGTACTATATGTCCTAGGTTGTTAGTTCGAATATATTTCAAAGGTTGATCTAAAATAACTTTTGAACCCCCTGGATTTCAGTTCTTCTTTTGGTTTCTCGTTAAGACCAAACAAACCAAAAAAGCGTACCGAGCCTCGAACAAAAAACACAACCCCTCTACGTTGCAACCACCCTCTGGGGAATCCTTACGTTGAGAGCTCTTTGGCTGATGTTTTTGTTCGGATGTGTTGAACGTGGGTTCCTTGAGGGAAATCGTTAAACAGCTTCTTTGGGGTATTTGTTTTGCCCTGCAAAGTAAACCCGATGAGACAGAGTGAAGCGGGCAAGCTAGAAAACCCTTTCCAATTGAACATCTGGGCCTTACGTTGTTTTTTCTTCGGGAAACCCGTTGAATGGCTGGTACAAGGAAACTACATGGGGAAAGCCGAAGCCTTTTTAAGGGGGTCGAAGGACGCACCCATCATCCAAGAGAACTTTTCATGAGCGTGACGGTGAAGTCGGAAGCGGTCAATTTCTGCATGGAGCTTGGGGTCTGAGCGGTGGGGTGCGCGGGGGTGGGGCAACGTGTATATATAAATATGTATCTATCTATATATTACATATTAAAATACAATTACACATATATTTTGATATGTACGTATAAAGTGCTCGTCGCAGAGCATCGGCTGTTGCAAATAAGATGATATCATGAGACTGTTTGGCATGGCTGGTCCTTGTGGCATTGTATAAAGAAAGCAAGTGCAAAAGTGTCTGCGGCAAGTTCAAGCATGTTCGCACTTGCGGAGACTGGGCTCACAGAGACTCCGATTGTTAAAAGCCAAACATTTTCCATATCATGGTTTTCCTAAAGGGAATTTCCTAAAAGTGGCCTCCCCAGATTAGATTCCATTTGCTCTTGGCCAGACATTCTCCATACATCCAGTTTTTGGGTGGCTACTTGAATGACAACACCGAAGCCACACCCAGACAGTTGTTGGGCTAAAGTTGGATTCCTCAAAACCCACCATTTTCGCTAACACCGGCCGATACCAACGACTTTTCATGATTAGAGTTGGGCCCAGTTGTAGAATGTATATCTTATTGTTTCCTTCACTTTGAGTCACTGGTAAAATGTAAAATGTATCCTAAGTCTGGACAGTCGTTCTTAACACAAACCAAAACCAACCGTAGGCTGCCATGGCTTCCAACAAGCTGGACACCTCGCTACTTGTTGACCCTGGGCTTCCGGGCAGAGCGTGGAGAAGAGGCCGTGGTCCTCTGGACCTAAGCTTCGGCTGGTGACTTAAACTCAGCTGGCTGTGGTTATCAAAAACAGTCTGGGTCAGGGCTGTGGGAAATGGAATCCACTTCTGTGATACAACAAAAAGGGCTTCCCAAAGACTGACCCCCCCATAAGGGGGAGATTCCCTTGTATCACTGAAGTGGGGATAAACCCCTTGATCCCACAACCCTGATCTGGGTGAATTATAATATTTCACCAGCCTGAAATGAGGTGGTTGAAAGGCCATTCCCCACATAAACCACAAAAATTGAGGTTTTTGGTCGTGTGAGGTTGTGGTAATTCACCCAGAACCAATGGGATCCCATTTTGGGGTGGGTGCACCACTCATTTTCGAACCTATTTTAGTGGGGATTGGGATGTTCACTGGGGGTACGATTTGGTTTTTGACCCATGGCCAGCTTGAGTTCTGGTTCTCCTGGTCACCCACCAAGGGAAACGGGCAGTTACCATCTACAAGACCAGGGGTTCAATTCTCCAGGGTCTGCATGATTTTCTTTTCACCCACCACCTAACCATGGGAAATCCAAGAGAAACAAAGCATAGGCCACCTTACTACTTGGTGGTTTGGATTATCGGATTGTGGGCCCGGGGCCGCTCACTTGTTTCCGCAGGTTTCCCTAATGAACATAGGACAACGGAGTCCCCTGCTTTTTGTCGGAAATTTAGGTCCTCCCAATTGGTTCTCCATCGACTTGTTTTGACCACGAACCTGAAATTCAGCCATTCGGGTCCAAGCCGCTTCCTAAATTAGTCTGATATCCGGAACTGGAGAAAGTCCCAAATCATCCAGCCCTTCTTGACCATTCTGGGTGGTTTTCCCTTTTTTCAGGGTAGTTTGAGGCACACTCTTTCCGTCCCCGTATCCCCTCTGACAAATGCATACTAAAAGCAGACTCATCAACTTGGCGGTCTCAGAGACCCAAGGATGATGCCTGTGTTTTGAACAACCTCAAGACGTGCACTTGCGTTCCACCTCAAGATGTGTTCTTAAAGAGACTTTCCGAATTAAACGGTTACCATTACCCCTCTTGAAAACAGTATCACGGTTGCTTTCTGCTCCCCTCTAAACAAATAACTTTTAGTGGTTTGATGGACAACCCATTAGTTGGCAAAAAGTTAAAGTCCTAACATCCAAGCAACATACACCAAAGATATCATCGCTTTCCTCCTCTCGGCCAACTAACCGCCAAAAAACCCCACTCGCACCCCTCGGTTGAGGGGGCCGCATCTCTTAGAGAAGATCTCCGTGACGCGGGCAACTTCATAGCCTTGGGAAGCAACACAAGGACCCCAAAACTAACCTTCAAAAGTGATCGTCCTTGAAACTGGGAACCTTTCAAACTCCCAATTATCGTCAAACATAGACACCCCGAACCCTCAAATTCCATTCACAATGTGGTGCAGGTGCACACCCACCGTTGCTGGAGATTCCCATTCTGCCAAGTCCAAAGAGGGCCACCTTCTCATCTTCTCGCCGTCGAGCCAAGTTGCGTACCCCACCTTTTGGGTTGAACACACTGGTGGTTGTGGGCCACACATCGATATTTGCCCCAGGTCAAGCTCCCAAATTCTCCAGGCCCCCCTCCCGAACCATCACCGTGCATTTGGGGGGTTCAGCCATCCACCAGAATTCGACTTTTTACGCGTGTAGAACCCCCTGCTGTTGGACCATCCACCTCACACCAGATGCCAGTTGGGCCTGGATAACACCATTGGAAAAACCTACCAGCTGGTGGATTGTTGGCGTCCACAGCGCCTTTGAGGGTTTGCAGAACACCCGGTCTCAGTATCATTGCTCCGAATCATTCGACCGAATCGATCTGATGAAAACAAGGGGAAGGGCCGAAGGAATGCATACCAATTCACCCGCTGGACTTCAGTTCAAAAGGGAGGTCTAGGAGGCAAACCGGGCAAACCCAGCCCGCGGTTTCGACTCCAAAAAAATGCCCAGTGGCACTCCTTGGTTTCGCCCTTCAGGGCCATAAGCCGTGCCGCCAGCGCCTGCGATTGAAGGGAAATAATTGCGATATCAGGGGCAGAGGAAACTTCTGGCTCAGAAACCAAGTCTGACCATGGGAAACCAAGTCTGAGCATGGCTCTTATTGGAATGGCAACTTCGGAAGCTAGCGCACCGTGCTCATGAGTCATGGTACTCCTAGGGGATGAAATCATAGAAGGATTCATCGGATTATCTGGGGAAAGGACTGTGTACCAAGCCTCAAACATCCCTAAAGAAAGGGGCCTCGATCATCAAAAAACAACTTTTCCAAAGGATGCATCGACCAGCTTGGGAGCTACTGACTGGCAGCTGGCATTACCTTCACCGCGTTCATAGCAAGGCAGGGCATACGCGCCAATCGAATGCCATCACCTGTCTTCAAGGCCAAAGAGGTTTGGGAACCCTGCTACATCTGGAAATGGGTGCCGGAGCGCGTGCGCACTTTGTCTCTTGACTGAGACAGCAGTTCGCGGAACTAGGTGACGCTGTAAAGGTGTGACAAAGCGATATGATATGTTCGTCAAAATGTCATGTTGTCTATGGCCCTGTGCAAGGATGTGGGGCTCACCGATTTTTTTTTATAAGGGGCTCACTAGTTTTCAGAGCCTGTTGGGGAACAAGCGGCATCCTCAAGGGTCTTCTTTTGTCTGGTGGCTGTGCGCTGAAACAGGTCAACGTGCCTTTCTCTACCAGGGTCACTGGTTGCAACTGGTCATGGGGAAGTGTCTTGTCCCAAGAATCAGACACTGGCCTTTCTTGAACGTGTTTTTAGTACTGTTGACTTCGGACGAATCCGGGGAATCACACGACCCCAAAATAACAGCTCCTCGGTCCCCTCCCGATCCGTCCCCTCCCGATCCGTGGCTAACGGGCTCAATTTGATCACGCGATTTCTGGGGCCGATCTTCGTAAACATTCAACTCAAAAAGTAGGTAGCAACCATATGGGTATGTCCCGTTGCACTGTTGTTGGGTGGGTTAAAACAAATCAAGTGAAAAGAGAAGGTTAACCTTTCGGGGTTATGAATAAACACGGAGATTGGAGCTTTGCACAAGGGGCTGGTTTTTGAAGGTCTCCTTCTGGCCGCATACAGCATCTTCAGGTTTCATGTTCAATATGCAGAGTATTGCAGTACGGGCCTGACAAAATGCGTACTGGGGTTTGACGCAGCGTGCGAACATCTATTTAGCTCCCCATGCTGCGGATGTGCAAAATCCGCTTTGCACCAGTCGGTAGATGGTTTATCCTGCTTCATCCATACCCACCACCAGGTGGATGAACAGTTCTCCAATGGGAAGCACTCCTTGTGCTATCCTGGATGCCATCACTTTGAACGGGACTCCTTTGGCCAGAAAGTGGCCAAGCAACCAACCAACTTTCCACCGGAAAGCAACAAGCCCTATCATCCAGGCAAATTCCCTTGGTACCACACAAGCGGATCCCTTCCCCCCTTTGCCCATTCCGCCCATTGGCTTCGCCTGTGAGAGTCCGGGCATGAACTGCTCCTTGTGGTCCACTTCCGCCATGAACCGGGCCGCCGCAGCCACGCCCCTGGCGGTTCACAGGAGAAGCTCAAGCTGGGCGCCTTTTGGGCGCGGGCCTTCAGTTCTTGTAAGGATTCCCTTCAGGAAAGGGGGTGTACGTAATATAAGGCGTGACCCCAAACTGGTTTCCTGTTAGAGTCCTTTTAGAGCCAGGCCAAAAATGGCTACCTTCAAAAGAAAACTACGGTGAAACGACCCACCTGAATCTGTGTTCCCCACCTTTCCCCCCGAAAACATCACCCGACCTAAAGGTACCTCACCTGAAATGAGCCCAAACGGTGCTCAAAACCGACAGCTTGTTTCGAGGCTCAAACCACTATTCTTCAAGCAGCCTCCTCTTGGTTTCCCTAAGGGAACCCGGGGTTGAAGCTGAGATGTGTCCAACTCACCCTCTCACTGGCTCCTCGGGGTTGCCCACGCCGAAGAAATCCACACCCTCAGCATGCGCCATGTATGCCACGTGCCACTTCCTGCTTGTTGGCACCCGTTTCGGCCCACTGCCCACAGGCACCAAACACATTCTTTTCCGGAGGCCCATGCACCAGATGCTTCCCAACGGAGATGGATCAAATGACTTGCCGTTGCGCAAGGGCAGTTGAGAATCCGCTTACCCACTGACCCTGTTGGAAAAAAGGACACCCGCTTTTGGGTTGACCTTTTTGACCGGGGAAGGGCAACCTGACCAGCGTGAAATAAAGTACCACTGACGTTGATTTGCCCACCTGCTTTGGACGTTGTAAGCATGAAAGACCAAGCAAAATAATCGGAAGGCAATCGGGTTGCAAGGCATCGCGTTGCAGCTTGGGTTTCAGCCCACGATCATTTCCTTGCAAGTAAAAAGCGATTGAGCCATGAAATCGCCTGCTCCCAGGCACCTTTACCCAAGCACCAGCAGCTGAGCAGTACTCCATAGACTTCGCGCGAATCGGCTTAAGCATGTCAAAGCTGTTCAACATCTTCAAGCTTCCCTGAGGGGTCCATGGCCTTCTGTAAACTCCTTCATGTCCAGGTGATGCGTCCACAGCCTCAGTGTCAGCATGCTGCGATCGTGCCGGATCTGGTTGAACATCTTCCGGTACCTCACGTGCCATCGAGGGCTTCTAAACCCCAATGCCTGAGAACGAACCAAAACGCCAGGGAACCAAAGAGATGCAATCTGCTTCTGCATTCTTTGTGTGCATGTTTCTTTGCATCTCTCTCTCTCTCTCTCTCTCTCTCTCTCTCTGGCTCTCTGCCACAGACTCACTCATCTCATCATCTCACTATTCCAGAAGGAAAGACACATCTTTGAACAACATGCAACACTGTGGCGCGGCTGTTTCTCACTTTCTGAGCGGAATGGCCAGAAAACTGTCCACAGGTCGATCACCTTTGTAATTAGGTTTAACGCACAAAACATTTGTTGCAGCAAGGACTGAGGGAATGACCCCTACAAACCATCCCCTATGGTTTCCTGTAAGGGAATCCCCTTCCGATTCATTACCAACACCCGGTCTCCGTCATTCCCTGATAAGCACCAGCAAACATGTTGTTTCCAAACAATCTTGGGGGTCAACGCCACGCAAATCGGGGCATCGGGATCTTGAAACATGGGGACCCCAATGTTTGGCTGAAACCTCAAACCGCAAGTGAGCAGCTTGGGGATGGTTTCTTGTTTTCAGGACACCCTGTTCTGGCTGGTTCTAAAGGGAAACCACAAGGACACTCACCATTTTGTCCTCCGTTTGCTTGAGTCCCCTGAACAAACACCAAACACATCAAGTTGCGATACATGACACATTCCGTTGAAATCCAGCAGGGAAACTTTAAAAAAAAAATGCTAAATCCAATGGAAGCTGCGGGTCGTCCTGCTTTGGGCGAGTCGTTTCTTTCTCTGTGGGCACGTGTCCAGCACCTGGTCCTCCGCTGGCATCACCGGTGCCAGCGCAAGGCCGATCTCCGCCAGGCTGGTGGCGGGGTAGTCGTACCTACGAAACCCAACCGAATCATTTCAGCTTCCTCTCGGGTGGTTTGGAGCAGAGTGGCTTGGTGAATTGCAACCCTCTATAAGGATCAGGGGCTACTTGGAGTGGATTTGTGTGTGTGTTTTCCCCCAAGTTGGAGGGGTATTTAGGCAACACTCACTTGGTGGTTTGGAGCCGGATCGGTGGTTTGGTGGTGACTTGGAGTGGCTTCCCACCAACTAAGGGGATATTTGTCCATTGGAGATCCATGGGAAAACAGGGCGCCCTTTTCGGGTGCCAGGCGAGTTCCATGGAAGCTCCTGAACGGACCCTGAAATGGAAGACTTGGCTCCGCAGGCCTTCCGGGAGCTTCCATGGAATCGTCTGAGGGCCGTTGTTTTCAAAGGGCAAGACTCTAGAGGAACAAGAGCGCTCCTGGAGGATAAAGGGAAAAGGAAAAAAGGGTGCGAGAATAGGAATATATCGGAAAGTGAAGGATTGCCAGGTGATTTGAAAGTATTTGAAAGTTACCTCAGCCTGTGGCCAAAAGCAACATATGTTTGATTGGCAATGCTGGTGGTTGCCTGAATCTTGCAGGAACACAATAGAGAGGTCCCAGTCGTTGACTGGTTTCCCCGCCAAACATACCAAACGACAAAAATAAATGCGACTGACACAAAGCTTTCATACCCCTCCTTCGGACTTGGATGACTGCAAACCCCAGACCTCTTCGAAGGTCAAAGAAGAAGAAGAAGGCCAAAGCATCCACAAACCAAATCGCGCGCTCAGGCGTGCACCAGTGGTCCGCCACATGTGCCAGAACCACCTGGCAACAAAAATCGGGAAGGATCAAAGAAACATCTGGCGATCTGGCTTGGGGCAGGCTCTCCAAATTGACATCTCTCTCTCTCTCTCTCTCTCTCTGTCTCGGTCGTGATGCTTGAAGAAGCAGCTGTAGTTGTTTGTGTTCAACATGCAATGTCATTGTAGAGCCGTTCTGCATTCTGCATGGCACTTTGTGTCGAGGCTGCTCAAAATAAAATGGAACACCGTCCTGTCAACGGAATGTTCGCCTACACAACAAACAATAAAGCTCGAAACGCATGGAAGCAAGCAACAACAAACAGTGGAGTGAAAAGCTGCGCTCCGATGACGATGTCTTGCACTCAAATTCTTTTGCATAACTGGCCGGCGCGGCCTGCACCAATCGTCACCGAGAAAAGAACCGAAAGTCGCTTGAAGGGGTCCCTTTGCCCGGTAAAACAAAAACCCTTTTTGGGTTACCTTCCCAGACTGGTAGGCGGGACTACAAGCTGGCATCGCCTGTCATTAGGCTACACACACATAAGACAACAAACAAAGAGAACCCCCCTCCCCACACATACATCTGTATATATATATATGAACATGAGCCCCCCAAACAGAAACAGAAGCGACACACACACACACAAAAGCAAACAGACACCGAGAGCCCCACGAACATACCTATAACATTTCTACAACATATATGCTATGTGTGACAACCAGACTTGTGCAAAACACAACCTACATAACAAACAAAACAACTCCCAGTTGCTTTCTTCAGCCGTCCCGATTCGGCCTCGAAGAGTTGGATCTCATGCACCTGGCTCGTGGTTGGACTGGCTGCTTCGAAGCCTTGGGTTGCGTGTTGGTTTGATACGGATAGTGCGCATGGGGCAAAGGAGTTTTGTTCAAAGAGCCGAACTCATGTTTTTCTTTTTGCTTTTTTCTATCCGCGCGTTCTGTGTTTTATGTAAACCCAATGAAAGTTCTACGGAAAATACTGGAAGCTTTTTAGTGGTATTCAGCGTTCATTAAAGTCGATTCACGCCAATTCGCGATTCGGAAGGTGAATGCGGTTTCCCTTCAACATCTTCAGCACACAAGACAAGTTGGACCAGGATCCTTCTTAGAAAAGAGGCACGAGCTCCTAGCCCGGGAAAAACACAACAAACACGAGAACCGTCTTTTACAGACGACACATATGCCCGCACGGCCGGACACGTGGTCTGGAAGGGCGTGCCCCTAAGCCCCTAAGCTCCACAAGTCATTCTCTCAAACTCTCTCAAACCAAGGTTTAGTGAAACCATTCGCTTTGGCAATGCTCAATCGAAAACAAACAACAACAAAGCAACACGCCGATGGCCGAAATGGCGGCGGCCGGCACGCATATCCTTCGAAAACCAAATACTCCTCTCCCTCCCAACGTTAAAAAAAAAAAAAAAAAAAAACATGTTACCAAGAAAGGCCACATCAACCTAGACTTCCGTTCAGAACGGGGCTCTCCACTTCTTGGCATGCGAAGTGTTCCTGGATTAAGGCTTCCATGTGGTATGGCTTATATCATATGTATATATATATATATCCAAGAATGCGCAGTGCTTCCTTGCTCAGCGTCCCGGTTCTGCCGAGGCCAGCGACGATCACCTGGATTCCTTTTCCCGTCATGGCGCTTCGCCGGGCTTCGAGGAAACAAGTGTTCACCCCATATCGGACCGAGCGCTGAGCAAAATAACATGGATTATTAAGCTCATGATGGGTGAAACAGGGACAGAAAAGGTGAGATTCGTGTGACATCCCCAGCGCCTTCGCATCCAAAAACCAGACCTGTGGGAGATCCACAAATTTGGCCATGGGTCAAAACCCCGTACGCCCAGTGAACATCCCAATCCTCACCAGACAAAAATGGGTGGTGAATTCACCTACCAAAACAGGATCCCAAAACGGTTTTGACAACCACTGCCATTTGGCTTCGCCGAATCTTTCCGGTTGCCTTCAGCTTGGCGCAGGCTGTGCACAGCTGCGCCAGCGCGGGCCTCGATAAGTCGAATGCCCCAGCTTCGGGGTTGGGGCGGTTCGCCTTGTTGACACCCCAAGAAAAGTTTGGTTGCATGGTTTCTCTTTGAAAGTGAACAACAAAAGGATTTCCAAAGAAAGGGAGTTCCACAAAATGGCGTCCAATTTGTTGAACGACAGCTCGACTGACACCAAGGAATCCCCAACCAAAAGCCCTTGAATATTGCTTCAAACGATTTGCTTGAAACAACCTCAGTCAGGCTTCTTCAAGCAGCAGGAGAATGCTCCAAAGCCAATATGGCCCTTGCGTCTTCCCTTCACTCTTGAGGAAGTTAGCCCAAACTGCTGGTTTTTGGCGAGTACTTGGCTAATGTCTTGGAGAGTTTCCTGAGAATTGTTCTTGGATTTTTGGTTTCTTTCTGGTCTCGTTGCACCAAAGGGGATCCCCTCAAACACCATTGGGTGCGGATTTATTCTTGGATTTTTGTTTTTCGGATTTTTTTTGGATTTGTTTTTTCGTTTTTCGTCCGGGCCAGAAACATGTTGTATTTTACAGCATTTTCTCGCGAAATTGACGCATTTTACACAAGCCCGTCAACATCCCCAGCATCGTTTTCAACATCCCCCGCATGTCCGACTAACATCCCTAGCATCACCAACAAATCCCGGGTAACAAAAACAAAAAGTAGCTGGCGGGTTGACGGGGTCAACAAAAATGATGATTCAAATAGGAGGGAATTAAAAACTAAAAAGTAGCGGGGGGGTTGGGGGGGGGCGGCAGCCCCCCCCACGATGTTGTTTGCAGAAGTGATGATTTGAATAGGGGTGCAATTAAATCTCTGCAAAAAGTCTAAAAAGTAGCGGGGGGGTTGGGGGGGCGGCAGCCCCCCCCATGATGTCGGAAGAAGTGATGATTCAAGTAGGGGTGCAATGATTCAAGAAAGGGTGCGATAGAATTTAAAAGGCAGCGGGAGGGTTGGCGGGGGTGGCTTCCCCTATGATGTTCGAAGAAGTACATACATACAGACATACATGGATTTACACAGAATACCTAAAATGTTGTATTTTGCAGCATTTTCTCGCGAAATTGGACGCTCGAAAAATGATGATTGAACTAGGGGTGCAATTCAATCTCTGCAAGATAAATCCAAAAAGTAGCGGGGGGGAGGCGGCACCCCCCCCATGATGTTTGAAGAAGTGTTGATTCAAATAGGGGTGCAATTACTCTGAAAGCAATCTAAACAGTAGCGGGTGGGTTGCGGGGGGGCTTCCCCCCCCATGATGTTCGAAGAAGTGATGATTCAAAAGGGAGGAACTGGTGATGCTGATGATGCGGAAAGCCACATCCAAAAAAGGGTCAAAAAGCCAAAAAGCCCGAGAAAGCACAGGATGCAAAAAGCCTGCAAAAAGCTAAAGCCGCCAAAAGCCGCATAAATCAGCGAAAAGCCGCAAAAGCCAAACTGCCACCTGACGAAGAGAAACTGGGAATGCAGAGGATGCGAAAGGCCAAAGCCAAGAAGCCAAAAAGCCCAGAAGCTGAGAAGCCAAAAAGCCAAGAAGCCAAGAAGCCAAGAAGCCAAGAACCCAAAAGCCAAGAAGCCAAAAAGCCAAGAAGCCAAAAAGCCAAGAAGCCAAGAAGCCAAGAAGCCAAAAAGCCAAGAAGCCAAGAAGCCAAGAAGCCAAGAAGCCAAGAAGCCAAGAAGCCAAGAAGCCAAGAAGCCAAGAAGCCAAAAGCCAAAAAGTCAAGAAGCCAAAAGCGGAAAAAAAAAACACATCCTAAAATAAATACCCCTCCAAATTTCCCTACGACCGTTTAAAGGGAAGCCAGAAGTAAACCATTGCCATTCGCTGGGTCGGTTGATTTGCTCGAGCCGGTGACACCTGGGACTTTGACCGGACAACGCTGGAAGCTCAGCGCTTCAATCTTGTGAACCGGGGACACCAGGGGAGCTTTGAAGCAGCCTTGCGTTCACCGACATTCTTGTATTGACTTCGTACAGTAGGCTCCGAAGTCCAGGCACAGGCAATGTGGCTCATCATGTGAAGGTCGTATTTCGCGATTTGCAAAGCAATGACCGAAGCATCTTGCAAAGTCGGTGAGTTTGCGCCTCCACGTCAGTGCTTGTGGACAAGATGCTCGCTCAGCGTAGCTGAGATAGACCGCCATCTCGATCTCTTCCTGCGCGTTCTCCTGATCAAGCCTCAAGATGTGAGCCTGGATGTCACCCGTTCCATCAATGTCGACAGCGATGGCAGTGCTCGATAAGTTGAGCTGGGGGCGCTTTGTGGGTCCGAGACGAAAAGGTGCCAGCTCTGGCAATCGACATTTTTGGTGTGGTTGGAGTGTTGGGTGTGTGCAGGTTCAGGCTGGGGTTACGGTGGCCACGGCCACCAACAAAACCTCCCCCCAAACAACAAAACGGCGTAACATGGCTCCAGGAGTTTGAGGCCAAAAGCAACCGAGCTCCTCCTGGGCAAGGTGAGGCGAGGTAAGTGAGTCTGTGAGTGCGTGCGTGCATGCGTCAGTGCCCTGGTTCCCCTTGACCAACCCAAGCGGCTCACAGGTGTTCACCTGGCACCACTAAAAACCGGGAAGCATCACTGGAGGGCACTGAGGGAAACGGTGAACGCGACTGGAGACCTGACAACACAAGGCGTTGGCTCAATGGGTCTGTCGATTTCTTTGGGGACTCAAAATCTGTGCTTCTCCTTTTGGCTTTTCTTTAGAACCACCAAAAAGGGGTACCAACTCCAAAAAAGATACATCCATTTGGAAGCCAAACGGTTTCGGTGTCATTTGTCAAGCAAGTCCTTTTCTTCCTTGCAAAGCTGCAAGCTCTACCTGAAGTCCCCAAACTGGACATCACGACACCAACCGGACTACCGCGCACCAAGCACCAGAACGATTTGAGTCTGTCTAGGGTACCCGTTTTGGGGTTGGTTTCAAGGGAAACCATACAAGCACCATTTCGGGGGTTCCCTCCCAAAAAACAACACCCATTTGGATATAGCTGAATGAATCCAAAAGGAACCCAATCAGTGACTCGCTAAAGGAACCTTACGCTACAAATTGTGGCGCCTGTTTCAGGAAGCCCCGGTTCAAAAGCCACAACAGCTGCACTCCGACTTGTCCAGTGGCCATAGAAATCAAGGGATACTATCTGTTTGGTGGGTTTGAAAGACAGGACGAAGAGGCGAAAAGCAAGGTTGTAGGACATACCTGTGATGCTGAAGTGAGATTCGCATCTCATGACTACTAGTTGTCGTTAAACCCGGAGGCCATCGCAGAAAATGGCGACCTAAGCAGCAATGACCCCTGGAAAACCCGTGGCGGCAGGGAAGAATCCTCTCATGTGACTTCTGGAACTGGACTTGGATGCGATTTGGACAGTAGTTCTCTGAACGGGTCCCTTTGGGTGCTCCGTTCACCTGGGGGGGGTGTCCCATGGAGGCGATCCCGCCACTTTGGGCGGGAGCACTCTATGAATCGCCATGAAAAAATTCAGGGGTCAACGTCAGGTGTGAGGATACCCATGATAAACAAACAGAACTCGGTGTACCATCATCCTCCAAAAACGAACCTTTTTGATGGGTGTCATATTGGTGGATGCATTCGACATCCTACAAATCATCTCTCAACTTTGAGACTCCTCAACATGTATCAGCAAGTTACAGTTCACTTTGATGGACACGTATTCTTTGGGTCTGCTTCTTTTTTGTGGCTGTCCTTTTTGGGTTGGTTTAAAGGCGACTATATAACCATTTCGGGTTCTGTCGTAAGACACGTGGGTGGAACATACCCATCCACCACGCCCCTTGACAGAGCGTCTCGGCCGCCAGGCGGTGTAGGGCCAGCGTGGCCCCCACTGAGCTGGGCGCAGGCCTGAAAACATCAAGCAAACAAACGTTCAAACGAACGAACGAACAAGTGAACGAATGGGAACAAACGAAGGAACACAGCAACAAACAGCTTTAATCAATTCAAACCACAGAAACAACAAACCGCTTGGCACTTTGGAGACTTTGGAGTGTCTGAAACTGGTGGGAAGCTTATTTGCTTGGTATTTGAAGGGATGCCAAAAGGAAACAGCTTGAAGGCTTGGTAGAAACCCCATATTGAGACCCCCCCCCCGCCAAAAAAACAACACCACGCAGGCTGAGACTCGTTGACTCCTTCGATAATCAAAGAGCAGTTTAACTTGGGCCTAATGCTGACCCCAAATCAATAAACGCCTGGTTGACTTTCATTGGGGGGTCTGTGTCCCTGTTTGGGGTTCAAACCTCTTTTGGAGGGAACACCCCTTTATGGGTTTTAGTGGGGCAGACCACTGGAACACCCCTAATGGGCTTGTCCATCCGGTCAGCATTGAAAGGGGCGTTGGTGTTTGGGCAACAAAAAGGGATCGCTTGGGAAGAAAGACCAACCTGGAGATCTGGCCTGAGCTGGGAGTCCATGGAAAACCCCTTTGCATCGGGGGTCACTTGATGGTCTGCGTTTACTTTCTATGTTTTGAATATTGTCTCACTCGGATTTGTCAATTTGTGTCACCCACCTCTTTGTTGCCCTGTTGACGGACCTCTAAGTGTAAGGTGTAGCCGAAAGGGAAGCTCCAACGCCCGAGTTGCGAGACAACCACCCTTCTGGAGCTGGTCAATTTCAAGGTCCTGGGGCGTATGTTTTGCCACGTTCCTTTTCGCTTTCTATGGGCGGTTCTATTTTGACAACCCAATATCTGACCCGCTCGCTCTTCGGGTCTTCTCTTCCGACCCCCCATTTGTTTCTGAATCGGGCATCGCACTCATCACTACCGCAAATCAACCCGAAACTATTATGGTGGCTGGGTGATTGATACCTACAGTACCCTGACTACTCACTATCCTGCATCAATGAAACAGCTCAGGATCGCGAATTCACCTGATCAACCTTGGCTGACACCTCCTAGATCCCAAACGCGACAAGAATCTTGAGCCTCGGGAACGTTCCCCTGCCTGCAAAGAAACCATCTCGAAGAAGGAGTAGTCCTGTGCGCCCGGGGGGGGCTATAACAAGGCAAAGGGAACCTGAGGCAAAAAAGGCATCTGTTTACTTGCTGGTCACCACGGAAGTGCCACTTTGTCGGGGGCATGACTCGCGAGACGCGCATTTGGAGAACGAGATATCATGCTTCACCGCTACCGGCAGGGGAGATGAGTCAATCCCCTCTGAAACCCTCAAATGGGGTGGGTCAACCACCTGCTGGAACATGGTTGAACTTGAAATGAAAACAGGCCCCGAGGTAAACAAACAAAATTTGGCAGATAAAGCAGTGTTCATGAATGGGGGGGGGGCAGGGGATGTTTGACATTTCGCCCAACCAACCCCCCTGCTGTGACGCCCTCTTTCCAACCCTGCATGGGCATAGTGTTGTGGAGTGTTTGCCCGACTATGGGACAACCCATCCGCAATATGCTGGCTTTCCGACGGGATACCCCTTGCATTGAGTCCGCGACTTCACTGGCACCACATGCTCTTCCCATGCAGACAAGTTGACCATACCCATTCCGCGTGCAGGAAGCCACAACATAAAACGCAAACAAGATGGGGACCCATCACAAAACACAGCAAACAACCGCGTTTCGCCCTAAGAACAAGAAACCAGCTTGCTCTTCAAGTCCCCTCTAACTGGCAAAAACCGTGTCACCCTTCCACATACAACACATCAGCTGTGCTCTTGAACAGGACTGCATTTCCTTCGAAGATTTGTGAAAGGCACGCCTGGGCTTTGACTCCAAATCTCATCCCAGCTCCCAGCCCACGGCCTTCGCAGGCTTAATTCTAGCGTACATCGGAGCTAGAGCAGCTCCAGCTCACGCTGAACACATTTGCTGTCCCCGCCAGTGTCATGCCTGCCCCAAGTTACCACTGCGCCGTCCTCCCGGATGGCCGCAAACGCGGATTTGTTTGCATGGATCAGCCTCACCCGCGTCAGTTGCTCCTGTTCCCGAGAACTGTCCCCGCCACACGTGGGAGCCCCCCACGTCACCACGGACCCATCGCAACGCAAAGCAGCGAAGGCCCCGGAGGTGGCTTGGATCTGCCGCACATCAGTCAGCTGCTCTCGCACCAGCTGGCTCTCACCACCAAATGACTGGTGACCCCAGGTTACTACTGTGCCATCCGCACGGATGGCAGCAAAGGCATCGCCAGTTGCTTGGATGTGCCGGATTTGAGTCAACTGCTTTCGAACTCGGCTGCTGTCTCCGCCGAATGATGCATTGCCCCAGCTCACTGCGACTCCGTCAGCACGTATGGCAGCAAATGCGCGATAAGTTGATTGAATGCATGTCACGTGTTTCAACTGCTTTCTGACGTGGCTGCTGTCCCCACCGCGTGCAGGATCACCCCATGTCACCACCCTGCCATCTTCCTCAATGGCAGCAAATGCGCCGTCAGTCGCTTGGATCTGCCTCACTTGGGTCAGTCGATGTTGCACGTCGCTGCTGTCTCCGCCGCGGCAAGTGTCACCCCAAGTCACTACAGTGCCATCATTCCGGATGGCGGCAAACGCACGGGCTGTTGCTTGGATCTGTTGCACATTCACCAACTGCTTTCTCACCTCCCTGCTGTCCCCGCCGCACGCGAAATTGCCCCAGGACACCACTCTGCCGTTTTCCTTGATGGCAGCAAAAGCCTGACCATTCGCTTGAATTTGCTGGATCCTTTCCAGTTGGCTGTGCACTTCGCTACTGTCTCCACCAAATCCCCAGCCCCACGTAATCACCGTGCCGTCGTTCCTGATGGCAGCAAAAGCACCGTCAGTAGCTTGGACCTGCCGGACCCCATTCAGCTTGTCTTGCACTAAGGTGCTGTCTCCTCCAGCCTTCGGCTCGCCCCAGGAAACTACGGAGCCATCATCGCGGATGCCAGCAAAAGCAGCGTGAGTCACTTGAATCTGCTGAAGCCCCGGATTCTGCCGCGATCGCGCGTGGTAAGCATACCTTGCCTCAGAAGCCCAGTGTCCATGCGAAGGAGAAAAACAGTGGACCTTCTTTGGTTGGTTTTTTGAGGACAACCAACCATTCCGCACAAAGCAAAAGCGCCACCGTGCTGCCGGGCTACATTCCCCCAGCTCACAGCACTTCCGCCGCGGACATACAGAGCAAAGGACTGCCATGCGGCAGCCAGCCCAGCTTGCCCGATCACCGCATCAAGACACTGCCCGTCTTGCAAGCCTTCCTGGGCCAAGGTTGAGGCTGGCTCCAGCTCTCGGCCACCTGAAAGACGCCCAAGACACGCCAGAGATGCCGCTCACATGGCCCAAGTTGCGACAAACCCAAGCAAACATGTGCATACATATTTGGGCTGCCCGTTTTCAGATCCCCTGCTAAAAGTGACTAACTTTTAGTGGGTCAAATGGAAACTACCACTAAACACTAAAAGGCTAAAAAGCTAAGGGGATGGCGGGAGCCACCAAGATATAACCCCCTTCCCTTGCATCATGCTAAATAAATACCACAGTGGCTCTAGTTCCCAGATCCTCCAATCTATTTCCGGCCGACTCTGCGTAATAGCGCAGAGCACCTCGGGTCAAACAATGAAACATGATGAACGCAGTTTCATCAAACCAAGGAATGCAAGTCAGACATGTTGATTTCTTCGGAATTCGGACATGTCCCCAGTAGGATTTCTGAAAACCAGTAGATTTGTTCAAAGGGAACTGCAGATTGACACGGAACCGAAACAGATTTATTGGTAGCAAACCAGCCACTGACCTACCTCAGACCTCAATTTTTGCCCCGAACTCAACATATGATGGTTGCTTCTTGCCCATATTCAGTGAACCTTGACATGTATGCAAAACTGAGCAGTTGATTTGAGGCTCCTTTGGGGGACCCTCATCCACTTGTACGGCTCAACGGTTGCAAGTTCAAAGCACCGCCTGCAGACAATCTTAGGAATTTGCGCCGAAAATGCCGTTGTGCCGCAGCCTTCAACTCGCTCACCTGCCAGCGGACTTTTCACTGGTTCAAACCAACACGCCCCGGTGCCTTGAGGGAAACCCAACAGGAGGGGTTGTTTAAGGCCCCCTCAATGGAAAGCAGGAGTAAACTAGAGCGGCCTGAGTGGCCTTTTAAACAAGTTGGCCCCAGCCTCCGACTCTGGCAGGCGCTTCACCGCACTTCCACAGCCGTTGGGCAAGTGAACCTCCAGTCGCATGCTGCGGCTGCGGCTGCGGCGTCTCATCGCGCGCATCTGAAAACTACAAGTATCAAATTGAGGCAACTGGCATGCGGCTGCGAATGGCTTCGATCTGATTTGACCAACTTCGTGCAGCTCAGGCCCACAATCGAGCGCCCAAAACCCGTGGAGTGTTGGGCCTTGGCGTGGCTCGCATTTGACCAGATCATCGCGGAACCCGTTGCATGGTGTCGAGATAAGCCCCTAACAAAAACAAAAACCGAGGTTCGCCCTTCAAGCCAATGCACCCCCCTCCCAGTTTGCCAAGGGCCAGAAGAAGGTGTTTCTCGAAATTAAGGACCCTTCCAGGTTTTGGCTTCCATTTCTATCGCCGTTAGAGGGTGTCGGTTGCTGTGGATGAACAAAGTCCACAAAACCGCACCAGTTGGAATGGATGCATCCCGATTTGAATACTGGTTGATAGCTTGAAAACCTCCACTTCCAGCTGGTGGTGTGGATTTTGTTCACAGAACCACCCCCAAACAAACCAGACACACTTCACATGGGCTTGTTTCAAAAAGGCCCCCCCCAAAAAGCAACAACAACAAAACACACACGGTTGTCTCACTTTGGTCTTCCTTCAAACCAACCAAAAAAAGGGCTCGCCTCGAAAAAAACAACACACAAACACACACACACACACACATCAGGGCTGCCACATTGACCGCATTTGGGTGCATCTCTTTTGGGGATCCCTTCTTCTAGCAAAGAACCAAAGGACACCAAAGGAAACCAAAGGCAACCAAAACAAAACAACCCACGGAGCGTTGGGTCCGATTTCTGTGAGCTCCCAACATTTGTTCGGATGTCCGGCGCGGCGCCTGGAACTTGAGCTGCGCGAAGAGCGACGCCAGCTCCGCCAGCTGCGGCAGCGTGGGGCAAGACCCGGGGATCACCTCTGGGTGCGGCAACTTGAGCTCGGAACCGGCGGTTCCCGGCGGTTCCACTTACCAAGGGCCAAAAATGGGAACTCCATTTCTTGAAGCCACAGATGGGTTTGGGGAGGCTTCAGGATGTCCATCTTGTGGTCAGAGAGCTGAACTGTCTGGAATAGGGATCTACACTTTTCTTCAGACTAACATGGAAGCCTGGGGAAGGGATTCTGCTTCTGTATGCCCAGGATCTGGGACACCACTTGCCGCTTTTGGCGGGTTCGACCCCGAGAACGTCATCCTCTGCGAGATTGCCAAATGGGCATGGAGGAACACCCGCGAGGCAAAAGTGGTGGCGAGCGTGATGATCCCATGCTTCCGCCTGTTTTTCCGATCGAAACCGAAAGGTGCCCTTGGCGCAAACATTGGGTGGAGGGCTAGGACTTGAACATTACATGCGTCATAATCAAAATGGTATAGTATACCCAAATCCATGTCAGGAAATGCAAAGGCAGCTGCCAGGGTTTGGGATTGTGGCTCACGGTTTCGCTTTTTGCTTCCCCCGCAACACCCAAACACGTTGCTGTTGCTTTTCACCGAACGCGCATCCATTCACCTCCAAACATCCCTAGGCTCGAACCCTAGAGCTGGCCTACCTGGGCCAAAAACAAACACTGAGGGCTTCACTGTGAAGCCAACCATAGTCTGGCGAGTGACACAAATGTCTTTCCTGAAAGGTCTTGAGCTCAGCTCTTTCTAGGTGAGAGCTGAGCTCAAGGTTCCTTGGCAGGCCTCAAGCCTTGGTTGCCAGGTTGGAAGCTGCCATGAGCGAACGAGACCCCAAATGACGGTTCCGTGTTGGTTCCTTTTGTGACTGGCCAGCTCTGTTTGGCATGGTGAGCCCAAGACCCATTGATGTTGATGGTTTCTCACGGGGTACTTCGGCTTGTCTTTTCAGTCTTTTGCATCCCCGTTCAACTGGATTCCGTCCCCATTCCCATTCCTATTACCCTCCCGCCCAAAAACTTGGAACTGAACACCTTCGGAAACAGTTGCCAAAGGAATCAAACCCATATTTGGATGGGTCGTAAAATAAGGGACCCCCAAAAATGTGTAGTTTCCCTTTTGCTTCCCTGGGTGGTTCCTCAAAAAAGACTCATCCTGTCCCCTGGAAAAACCGCAAGCGTCCGCCTCGCCAGTAGAGGCTTGCTGCACTCGGACCTGCGCCTGGGCAAAAGGATCGAAAGGGGGTCGGGATGAAATACCGGGCATGTCCTCCAATGCAAAGGAAGAAACGAGGCCGAAGAAAAAAGGCATGTCACAAATTCTGCAATCCTAAACCTTGCGAATTAACAGGCGGGTGTTTCTCTCGAAGCGTAATTCGGATCCCCGCAGTTTTATGCGACACCCGAGAAAAATAGATTGGGATTGTTGATGCTGGGTTCCCATCAGTCTTCCAAGCCGTGGATGCTGACTCGGTCTTTGCATCTTTTCGTCTCGCCTACCGAGAAGCGGCGACCGAATCCTCTTCCCCAACTCGCAATACAAGGTGTGACTAATTCGTGAGGATGCAATCACACATAGTATGGGTCAAATTTAAAGCACCAGGGGACGGTAGGTTTTGGTCCTTGTTGCCATTTCACAGGGCAAGCCATTTTGGGTACGTATTTTTGACCCACAGCCACATGTGTTCCGCAATCGCCGATGCAAACATTCAGAAGTTATTCGTTTGTGCGAGTGATCGGAACCCGTTTGTTAGAATCGGTCTGACAAGCCCTCAAACAGATCTGCCGCGAGCCTTGCTACGCGGGTCAGTACTCCAGATCTGGCTGCGGGGCAAACATTGGGTAACCCAAAACCTGCGGTCCGATTGCTGGTCGTTTAATTTTGACCCATACCCATCTGAAGAACAAGCCGTTTCGCAAGAGGAGTTCTGTGCCGCGTCTTTAAAACGCATCGAAGCGGACAGGCGGGGGCTGGAAGGCCGGTTTCCTTTTGGGAAACCCTCTGTCACTTCCATGATTGTTGGAAAATGGGTCATTATGCCAACATCTCAAACTCCATTAGTGTGAACCCGCCTGAAGGCTGACTTCCCCCCGAAACGAATTGCCAATGTGTGCCCCGTCAAATGGAATTCTGGTGCAAGAGACCGCTGCCGGCGCCCGATTAGTATTCGGGAGAGCCTGCTTTGCATTTCGGGGTGGGGTTGGAACCGCCTTTCATAGGAGGTCGACCTCACCCATTTTATAGGGAACTCGCAAGAAACGGGATGGGTCCAATCGGGGGGGAATTCTCAATCAGAGGTCGTGCTCCAACGCTTTCTAGGATGCCCACCTGCGCTGACAGTTGCCTCAGCTCGGGCTCATCGACTGACCAAACCACCTTTGGGAGGCTTGAACGGCCTTTCCTCAAAATGGGGATCCATCGTGGCGGTCAAGTCACACATTGCCTTTGGGAGAGCCGGGGAATGTCCTCTAGACATGTCTGCGGATCCACCACACACAAGGGAGGTTGCTGGCAATCTTATTGGTCATTCGTCCAAGCAGAGCGCAAAGAAAGACCAAGGATTGGATTGTGGCATACAGGCATACACATTCTATTGTGTGGCACCACGTCTAGGCAACAACATGTAACATCTATCTCCGATTCCACCCCAACAACCTACTTCGCACCTACAAACAGGATTGGCCAAAGATCCGTATATCTCGGACATCTCTTAAAATAGGGACCCCGAAATGGCGGGTTTCCTGGTTTCCCTTTAAATCACCCCAAACAGGGTACCCCCCCAAAAAAAAAGTCCCCGCAGTTGAACGCCGGTCTTTGCCATGAACATGGCGTTCCCAAGGAGAGGAACCCGAAGCTGAGAGAATCCGAGGCCCCCGAGGCCACGGCGAGAGGAAGGTGTAATGACAAACCTCTGTGTCCGCAAAGGCCTGGCAAATGTCCGCCTCAGCCCTTGCTTCGACCCATCTTTTCAAGCCTTGAAAAAAAAAACGCACCTTTTTTTTGTTTTTTGCTTTTGGTACTCTCCTTGGTTTGAACCATGACTTCAAGCATTGGATAAAAACCAAAATGGGCAAAGCCCTTGGATTGAACCATGACACAACGTGTTTTTTTTTTTCCGGTTGGTGTTCTCTCTGAATTTGCCAAAAGCCGCGCTTGGTTTTATCCTTGGTATTCGGCGAGCCGAACTCAAGGAATCACATCAAACACTGCCTGAGCTGGGTGTTGTGTGAGGCACTGGCATAGTTACTTGATTCTTTCGATTTTGTAGAAAATTCATTGAGTAGTTTCTTGTCTCTCTTAAATAAATAATAGACTACCACAATTTGTGACCACCTCATTTCAGGACATGAATTTTAACGATCTACATCCATGCTGTGTCCTGGCTCACGATGCATGGGGCGTAAGTTGGAATCGGTCATCCCTAGAAAATCCGAGTTGTGATTTTCCGCCACATACAGGTAGGGGGACTCTTTGCGGCCGACAAAACCAATGCAAAGGGCACGTTCAAAAAAGCGCCCTAGAAAGGGGGTTGGTGCCCTTTGAACAGTTGGGTTGCTACGTATTGCAAGAGAATCCCAACTCGCATTGGTGAGACATGTAATGCTCAAGACAAGTTTCTAAGGGCTAATCAATCAGACTGCAAATATATCTGCGATATTGTTGGAGCCAAGCAATACTGCTAAACAGTGGGCTATGTGTCGACATCACCGGGCACGGGCTGTGCGCTGTGCACCAATATTTGTGGTCCTATGACACCGCCCCGGAGCCACTGGTTGTTTCTTTTGGAGGGGGTCGGGATCCCTTTTGGGAAAACACTTTCCTGCTAATCCGACATGCGCCAGGTTCATTGATCCGGAGTCAACATTGCACGCATGGCATGGAGTTTAGAAACAACCTACTCATCCCATTGTCGTTTGCTCTATTGAACATGAGTCCGGTGAATTCTATAACAATTCAACCACCATGAGTAACAACCTTCCTAAGTCGATTGGCCCAAACAAGTCTGAAGTCCAGATTCTGGGGAGGTAGACTCTAACAATTCACTTGGCGATTCCATCGGGTCACAGAGAGTGGCAACCTAAACCTTGCTTTTGAGAACCATCTGGGCAAGCAAATTGGTGTGTCTCCAAACAAGCGCCCGTCAACATCGTTGTCTGCTAGTATGCCCCTTGGTGTTACTTTAAACACGGCTAAACAGGGCACCCTCAGAAATGGACAAACCCATTATACCTGGTTTAAAACCACTCCAAAAAGGGTACCGACAACACATAAACCAACAAACCAACAAACCAACAAATAAACAACCAAACAAACAAACAAACCAACAAACAAACCAACAAACAAACCAACAAACAACCAAACAAACAAACCAACACCCCCCTCCCCCACCAAAAAAAACAAAAAGGTACCAGCAACAAACTGACACTCAAATGGCCACGGGTCAAAATCCTGTACCCACAGTGAACATCCGATTCAATCCCCAGTAAAATAGGTTCTAAAATGGGTGGTGAATTCACCTACCAACCAAAATGGGATCCCAACACGGTTTTGACCCACGGCCAAATTCCCCACGCCCTCTGACGGCGAGAGCGCGCCTGCGCCAGGCGCACCAACTCGCTGGGCGTCACCTCACTGAGCTTCGGCCTGGCGTCCCGAAAAAGGAAATTGGCGGGGGCCTGGAGGATGACGGGCATGCCGCAACCGTACCGAGGTCTTGTTGCCTTTGCGATAGCGCAGAGTCTGTTCGACGCAGCGATTTATTGGGGAGGGGGAAAGAAGGAGAAGGTCCCAAAAACAAACAAGACAGTAGAGCACCCAGTAGAGCACCCAGACAGTTGGTGGGCTAAAGTTGGATTCCTCCAAACCCGGCATTTTCGTGAACACCAGCCGATACCAAGAACTGTTCTTAACACAAACCGGTCCCTCAGTAGAGAGGTTAGAATAAGGGCACCAACTTTTCTCTGTAGTCTATTTTAGTAGGGGAACCCTCCCCCCCAAAAAAGGGGAGAGAAGGGCACTACTAGGTACCCCAAAAGGGGATCACTTTCTATACCTTCTTGCTTTAAGCAAAACAAAACAGACAAAAGGAATCAACCCCCTACAAAATACGAAATTGACACTTTGTAAAGGTGATCACCATTAAAAAGAAGCTCATCCAAAACCCCAATTCAGAACTCAGAGACCGGTTCTTTTTTTCATGTTACCCTCACAAAGTATACTTCTCAAAATGGATACACGGAAAGAGCTGTGACAATCTCAAAGCTAAAGCCATGGCACTCTCAGCCCGAGACGCGAGCAGGCGGGCGATCTCCTCCATCATGTGCTTATCCTGGTTGGGTTTTTCGGCATGAGTCACGACGCAGTTCTCAAAAAAAATGGGGGGATTTGTTTTTTAAGTTTATTTATTTGTTGTTCCCAAATTCGGGTTTGTCTCAAAAGTGGGGAACCCCTAAAATGCCTTGTGGGTTCTTTGGGTTTTCCTGAAGCGCACAAATCGTGGGGTACCCTCCAAAGAGACACAGGTGGTACATGCAGAGCATGCAGAGGAACTTGGGCTCCAGGCACTCCTCCCGGATGAGATCAGAGGATTGGAGGTTCACGGCCAAGGGATTTGCTCTGGTCGACGTCCCGGCCGGATGTGGGCGGGGCGGACTCGGCGGACTCGAAGCTATGCAGGCTGATCAAAAGGGACCTTGACATGAAATGACCATTGGGGAAACCGTTAAACCATGATGGCTGATATGTCCCCACCAAATGTGCGAAAAATAGCCTTAGTCAATTAAAAGCCAGAAATATAGATCCACCCCCAACTGAGTTCCTCCAAAAATAGAGATCAACTTTCAATTGGGGTTCCCCCCGGAAAAAAAAAGCGACGCTCACTTCCTGAGTCGATGTTTTTGTTTTTTTTTAAGTCCGAGCTTCGTATTCACCACACAAATGGTCCAAACCCCAAAACAGTTTCACGCCCAGGGACTGCCCTGCCTGCAGCTTCGCCAGGCCGAAGGCATGGGCTGCCACCACCAGCTGGTGGCTCGTGTACCTGGTTGGTCTGGGTCTGTCGGTAGAATTGGACCCCCCAAATGGTGGGTGTCCTGGTGTTAAAGGCAAACCACGACATAAAAGGTCAACAACAAAAAAGGCAGATCCATATGGGTGTGTGTGTGTGTTGGAATAGGGAGCTGATTCCCCATCTAATTCAATATAACAGGGCAGTCCGTATTTTCCCCCCATTTCTTTCAAGACAAGCCTGGCACATTTCCAAGACTCTCATACTTTTGGGGGGCCATGCATTTGCGCAGCAAGGCATTTTGGAAAGGACCAGATGAAACTGATAGGCGCCTACCCAAACAACATGCCCTGGTCTCATTGTCCGCTACTCGTCATGGGCAAACAGACAGTGTGCTCCCAACTGACATGGGATTTGGTTGACACATATCCTATGGTTACTTGGTGAGTGCGGCTCACGGTACTTTCCCAATGGCAACCCAAAAAAATCGCCCATTTGATGCGGCGATTCGATGGGCACTTGGGCAGCATCTTGCGGAGGAAGCGCGACACCTCAGCAAGGGAAACGCCGGCATGGCATTCATGGGATGGGTGCAAAGGGGAGGGCTGGAAATACTCCTATGACATATTCAAAAAATCAAAACACGGTGAAAGAACGGGCACTAGGCTACAATCTGGAGGATTCTCCAGAATATGGTTGTAAGAGATATCCATCCCCTTGTCTTCTGGGGAAATCAAAGAGACCGGCTTATATACCCAGGGACAGCGGCATGCAGGCCTTCATCCTGTCGTTGGATTTGGGCCCTACTATAAGCTTGGGTCTAGGGGTGGAATCCCCGTAACTATTGTTTTTGGTGTTTGGCACTTGCTCGAAGAAATGGAGCTTTGAAAGGATGGGGAGGGTGCCGCTAGAACGGGTGTGTTTGTATCGACGGTATCCTTTCGGGTGTTAGTAACAGGAAAGCAAAAACATCTTAGCAAGGTTGTCTGGGTGCTAAATAGCAGGTCAGTAAAACTTAAAGCAAACTCCCTTTTGGTGATCTTTGCGGGAAAACATGTCAACACATATTGTTGAGCACCGAGCCATGCAAAGAACTCAACGAGTTGATGGTTGTCGCATGATCACTTGTTTCGTCCTGCAATGAGCCTCCTGGCCTCTCGTTGCAGGCTCTAGCCGTGTTTAAGAAAT